CACACTGAAGGATCCATGCAGAGTAAAATGAACTTGGATTTGTCCATTTAAAAAAAATGATGATCTGAATCAGCCCTGTCAGGACTTGGACCCATGGCTTCAGGGCATGTCAGAAGTTCAGGCTTTTAATTAGAATGATTAAGCCATCTCCCCTCATCTGAAAGCAGTAGGATACTGAGAAATTTGAGCTAGGGTGCATTTTTACCAGTAAACTCTAAGTTTGGTAGCCAAAACCAAAAAAAAAAAAAATCTGTTAAGCTCTTTTGACCCATGCTCTTCATCTCTATCTTTCCCTGCTGTCAAATATCAAAGGACTTTCCTGAAGTCAAGAGAGAAAACTTTGACAGTTTCTTTCAGTGAAAACTAAAATGTACCAGAAGCTAGCAAAGGAAGAAAGGAATGCTAAGTCTTCTTTCCTTCTTTTCTCTTCTTTTATTCTTGGCTCTCCTTTCATTCTGGAAAACAAGTCAGAAGAGCCCTAAAGTTAATCAGAAATCATGTGTGCAAGATGCCCATGTGCTGAGAATAATGTTAGGCACATTTCAAGTAGGAGATACATCTCATAGATCAGTTTTAATTTGAAAAGGAATAGAATGTAATAAATATAACTTTATAGTCAGAAGAATATACCTACTTTTTCCTCAACCTTTTGGAAAACCTAAGTAGAAGGGTCAACATCCGTTGCTCTTGAGTTATTCATTGTTCTCTTCTCCTCTATCGAGTTCTTCCTGTGCTTCAAGTACAACTATCTTTAACTGTAAAATTTGTAGGTAGGACCACTGTGAGTAATGTGTGCTTATTGAAAAGGGGAAGTTTTCCTATTCGTGTTCCCATCTGAAACCAGAATGGAAGACACTGGCAAGACAGTTATTACTGCCTTCTACGGTCTACCATCCAGGATCCTGTCTATTATGTTGATCAGTACCAGCTGCTTCAGAAAGAGGTTGAATACTCCCTATAATGGACAATTATAGGATAACCCACTTGCAGGGGAAGTTTTTTCCTAATCCCTGTCAATTAGTGGTTGGTTTATGCCCTGAAGCAGGAGGATCTATATCCCTTAAATACAGTATCATGTTTAAAGCATAAGTATCTGTTCACATTAGCAATATTAATGCTTATTCCTCTTTTAGGATGGAAATTAGAGACAATTAGAAATGAAAAAGATCTGTTGGGTCATTTTTTGCCTATGCTTCTGGCAACTGCAGGAGGTTTCCTCTGCTAGGTTCTCCAGTGTGTTTTTCACACTAGTTTTAAATGATTCATTCTTCAAGGTTTAAACCAGTTTGCATGAGAGACTCTCTTCTAGCCCAGCAGATTTCAGTCTCCCCTGTACACAGTATTCTAGATGCAGCCTCATTAGAGCAGTGTAGAGAAGGGATTATCACCTCTGCAGATGTGATAATGCCTCTTCATATGTAGCCCAGACTCATATTAGTTAAATTTTTCCTACCATATTACGTTGCAAACTGACATCCAGCTTGTCATATACTGTCATGCTAGATTTTTTTTTCGCTTTTACCACTTTTCTTGCTGCTAAATAACTGTTTTGTATTATTTCCCTCCAGAAGTTTTACTTTGCATTTCTGAGGCACTCATATAATTTTATATAATAGTACAATATAATTTCCTGTCCACATAATTACCTTCCCTGTGTCCCTCTGCATTACTTCCCTGTTCTCAGTGCTGTGCACAATAACTGCCAATTTATTATTATTATCTGCAGATTTAATTGGTATGCTGCTCTGTATATCTTCTGTATGGTGATTAAAAGTGTTGGCTGAAATCTTGGCCTCACTGAAGTCAGTGAAAAAGTTGTCGTTGATTTCAGTGGGGCCTCAGTGAAAGATGTGTTAGTTACCTAACATTTGCCATAGATAAGACATGCACAGAGGCAGTTACTTCCAAGTAGCTGACCTGCTGTGAGATCACATCCTAACCTACCCCTCAGTAATTATGAGGCAGTACTCTAAATGTGCTCTTGATTGGCACATAGAAAGCATGACATTGGCTGTCTCCGTGTTGTCATGTGTTCCATTCTTTTGGGGAAGTGATGATGCCGAGGGGAGATGCCTATGTATTAAGAACAAATGTTAGGCACATTTCAAATGAGAAATACATCTCATAGGTTGGTTTTCTCTTAACAGTTCTTGGGTTTATCAATGTAGCCAATATGGGAACACTGCTATCTCACCATTATTGGGCCATATTGCCTCTGTGCAGGTTGATACAGATAGCCAGTCCTCACTGGGTGCATCTACACAAGAAGCTTTACTGCACAGCAGACCAATTTGCTACGCAGTAAAGCATCACCATCTACATGTGCGCAGCTATTAGGGTACACAAAACTAATTAAGTCTGCAGCTGGGTAGTCTTCTAAAAGACAAGTATTACCATGCTGCGGGGGGAGGGGAGGAGTTGCTTGTGCACAGCAGCACTCTTGTAGACATTGCCCTGGCTGGCTGAGGTATTGGGTGCTTCAGCACCCTCCACCCTAGCCAGCTGCCTAGCAGCACATGGAGGCAGGGGAGCAGCCAGCCCAGGGCTGCTCCCCCATCCCTGTGCACTGTAGAGCCCCTGTGCTGAGCTACCCTGTGTCCTAGCCAGCTGGGGAGCGGCACGTGGAGATGGGGGAGCAACCAGTCCAGGGCTGCTTCCTTGTCTCTACGTGGGGCACAGTGAGCCCCAGCCAGCTGTTCTGTGCTCTGTGGCTGGCTGGGGTGCAGTATGCCTTAGCACAGGGGCTCAGCAGAGCATGTTCAAACAGTTTGCCTGGGAGCAAAAAATGTGAGCAAAAAATTGTGGACCACTGGACCACAATTTATTGGTCCACATTAATTGCATGTGTAGACTGCACTGACTACCATAGTTAGTCTGTTTTACCTTTCCGCTTTAGTAACAATATTTCATGTGTTTCTCACCTCACTATCTTGTACTTTTTATAGTCTTTTGCATAGATACAAAATGTTAACTTTAGGAGTTTATAGTTCTTCCTACATTGCTCTTGACTCGCACAAGTATGACTGCATGTATTTGAATGTCCTCTGTCAAAAGTCCTAACATTTGTTACTAGCCAACAAATTCTGTCATTGAGCAATGCCTGAACTTAATAGTTCTTTGAGACCATTTTAATCCCTCTCATTAATCAATACCATTTTATGACCTTTCAGCCTATATTTTTCAACAGTGCTCAGGCCTTTTTAAATTCACTTTCATGTAAGATTTTCTGATGCACTGTGTGAGAGATTTTATGAAAGTTAAGATACATTACACCTGCTGCATTCTTTTTGTCCACTAATTCCATAATTCAGTCAAAAAAGCTATCTGAGTTCTCAGACAGTTTTTCTATTTCCTTTTCCCTTCCCACTCCCTCCCATGATTCTCTTGTTTTTTCAATGGAGCTAAATTAACCGGATTATTAAGTCTGTGGTTTTGCCATGCCTGTGACTTTCAGCACAAAAATGGTGATTTTAAATGCTTTCTCATAACAAGTCATGGTAATCTCCTGACTTCTCTAGGAGTTTTACTTGGTCAGTAAATGAGGTTGTGAAGTATGAGGGAATGATGAGAGTTTGTGAAAGGTTTTGAGCTATTGTTTATTTACAATTAAATTGTTTTTAAATATAGTTATTAAAAATGAGAACTATTTTTTGAGTTTTGTTTTTATAAAAGACTGATCTTGCTCCCACTGAAGCAATTTCAGACACATCTATATAATTCAATAGGAGTTACAAGATCTCCCAAATCTGTGTATTTTGAATGTCATGCCTTGCACTTTCTTTTCTTTCCCTCCTGCCCTCCCCTATAATAGAATTTAGTTGCCAGGGCTGCTATACTTGTTTTTCTTCTAAGAATGGTACCACAGTTGGGTTTTTCCAGCCACACAACTTTCACAAATAATTACCAATAGCTGAATCAATTCATTAGTTAATTTATTTTAGGAACCACATATGCTTGTCATCAGGATTTGCTGATTTACAGAGATTTCAACTTTTCTATGCCAGCCGTTTTTTACCTGTTTTTATCAATAGTTATGCTGACATCAGATAGAATTTTTGAAAGCACAAAAGTCTCATTTTCATTTTTAAAACCATGTCTTTCAATGAGACTTGCCATTTGTCTACACAACGAATTAAGACACAGTTCTAAGCATATGTTGCTAAATCAAAGCTACTACAGATAGCAGTAGCAGTAAATACAAACTAGCACAAATTTCAGCATGGGTTAGGAACATAAGCTTGTACCAAGGGTCTGTGACTTCAGTTCCTCATGAATTTCATGCATCCTGTTCATTACTTCTTGATTTTTTTTTTCTTGTTGTGACAGACACCCCATTTCCACAGGCCCTTACATGTTAAACTTAATCCTATGAATAGTCCCCGTGAACTCAGTGGTACTGACATGAACACAGGTATGCATGTAATAATGGATTTATAGAATCAGACTAAAAAAATTCAAATGTGAACCTTTAAGTGTCCTGTCCAGGTAGCTGAGCCACACTTAGGCCTCCCTATTTGTGAAAATCCAGGATGTCTTTCCCTCCAGTTGGATATTGTGGTTTCTGGATCATGAGTTTGTCCTCTATATAATTTAGGGATGTCTTTGATGATCCATGCTCAGCTATATTTGTTATCCACCAGATGTCTGTGTAGTTAAACTCACTCATGAATACAGTATCCTGTGGTTTTGAACTCTTCAGTAGTTGGTCTGGGATTTTTTTTTCCCTTCTCATTTTCATCCCTTCTCCTGGTCCACTGCGGTCTTTTCTTTGTTTTTAATTTACTTCATCCTCACGCCAAAGATTTTACTGCCACCCTCTGCATTATTACATGGTATGCCACTAGTTTCGATGTATGTCTGATAATATAGTGTGTGTGTGCAATTGATTTCCCACAGGGACCATTTTCTTACACTGTAAGTTAAGAAAAGCCTTTTACTCTGGCTGTGTGTGGGTCCCTTTAAATTCACCTAACAACCCCGCTTTTCTGTAATCTTGTCAGGCCACCAGTGGAAGACAGTCAAACCCTTTTGACCCCAGTGGTGAGCTGTGGGCCCCCAGGAGCACTGCTGACACGGCCTGTCATTCTAACTATGCACCATTGCGCAGAGCCAAACACAGAGGACTGGAAGATACAGCTGAAAAACCAAGCAGCTCAGGGCCAGTGGGAGGTAAGTTCATGATAGGATCACACCCGTCCAACCATATTTATCTTAAAGATGCCTTTTAAAATAACCAAACATCTAAATACCATATCTTCTCACACATAACACCCCATCTATGCCCTCCCTACCCAAATAAGATACATACCTTGTTTTTGAAAGGTAGAATGAAGAAAAATATCTTTCCTTGAAAATACTGGTAAGTAGCAGTAAGTAACTGAGTAGCAGAAGCTAGGATCCCAGCATGTCATTGTGCTGCTCTCTGGGCACATCTACACTTGCTATTAAGGTGAAGAAATAACCTCTGGTGCTTATCGCATAATAATTCCCTGGTGTAGTCTCTTCTTTGCATGGGCTATTCTCATTGATGGAGAGTACAGTTCAGCTATAATTCAGAGCAAAAGTGGAATAAACTTGGAGATGCAAACCAGTCTTTTGTGGATTTTATGCCAAAAAATGAATATAGTCGCACAATTCAGCATGACATGCCATGTACACCCAGAAGAGGCTCACAGAATCATCTGTGTGGGAGAAATTGCAGAGTGCCATCTGCCTGGCTCTTGTTTCTTCGGACAGGATTCTGTTTACCTACTGGATGACCGAACTACAGCTTTATGACCTGACTATATGTTACCCAACTGAAGAGTAGAAGCAATTTTGTTACCCCGCTGTAGGCATGTAAGTGCCCCTCTTATAAGAACAGAGAGACATCTACATGTCTGAAGGGTAATCCTATTCCTATAATAATAGGGGCACTTACATGTGCAGAGGGGGTAATAGAAATGCTCTTACACTTTCAGTCCCAGACCTGAAGAAGGACTCTATTCCTGAAAGCTTGTCCAGCATCTCTCCCAACTTCACAGTTGGTCTGATAAACAATATCAGCAAAACCCCTTACCTCTTGCACACATCCTGGACCATTTTAGCTATCATAGCACTCAAATCTTATTCCTACATTTTAGTCAGGTAACCTGGAGTCAGTCAAAAGCTGCACTCTGGTCATCCACTAGGGGAACAGAATACTACCCTAAATGTTGATGCTGGCCTACCATTCCAAAATGAGACTTTCACCTGGTCTTTTGCCTGGTCTTAAGCTTGGGATAAACAGATAAACCTAAGCTGCCCAGCCTGCTACAGAATTTAAGAATAGTGGGTTTGATCAAGAATCTTCAAGGAAAGTTCCCTGCCTTTTTATATCTCCTATATCTGTCTTCCTCAATCTGTTCTGTTCTTCCCCACCCCACCATGAGGAGTACCCCTGATTGCCTGAGGACTGCTCCAATTTCATGTATGTGCACTTAGTCAGCAGGGATGGAATTAGAGCACTCACTTTGAATTTTCGTCAACATACTTTTCTCCATCTACCAACCATTGAAGGTGCCCTACAATAAAGAAGGAGCTCATGACACTACAGTGATGCATGCTGCCCATTCTGATAAAGGATATTTGGTAATATATATGAGCTATAAGGACTGGTTTCTAAAACTATGGTCTTCCTCTTATGTTAAAACTCTGTGCTAGATCTTCAAAATTGTGAATATAAATGCCATTTGGAGATTCCAGTTCAGTGGCAGGCAAACTATCCGCTACCTGTTGCAGCTGTCCCTTCACTCCTTAATGGAGAACAGGTGCAGATTTGGCTAGCAGTTTTATAAAGATGTGTATTCTTGGGAGTTTTTTTTAATGCCTCCTGCTTCTGGTTTGGCTAAATACAGTAGAATAATAACCTTCCTTGTGTGATTTTGGCACTTCAATCCTGGCTGGCAACAAAGTTGAAGTGAAGTGGGGAGGAGGGCAAAGGGAAAGCTTCAGTAGTATCTACTGAATACTACTGAAGTTCAGTTCCTGTAAAGTTTTAGAAAAGGGAAGCTGTTTTCACAACTGGTTCATACTTCCCTAATTTGTACTGTTTTCAGTGGATCAACAGCTGCTAACTACTGCAAAACAATCTGCAGCTTTACAATCTAGATAAGTGAGGCAATTTAATCTTGAATATAGTCTCTCTTTTCCTTGTTATTCTCAGAGGTGCAACCCACTACTGAGAGTCCTAGTGTGTCACTACCTCCTGTTCTGAAGCAAGAAATCAGAAGGCAACATTACAGGCTCTTAAAAAAGTAGGCCAAAGCACACATTGATGAACTTGATGGGAGGCTTGAAATCAGTGCTGGTAGCATTGAGATGACTGAATCCCAGTGTAAGGCAGTGGTAGGATGACCCTTTCCCAAGATTTTCATCATCTTAACAGAAAAGAAAGCAGCTTCCTACAAGCTTTGTTCATTGTCAAAATCCTTCTCCCCTGTCCCTGTTCTTGGCAGGCTTGCTTGCTCTTGACAAAGCTTATAATGCTACTGCCACCTGTGCTTGTCTCCTATATTTAATTTGGCACCCTGCACTTTCCTCCTCTGAGTAGGTTTTAATGAGGAAATCATAACTGAAAAGACATCTGGGCTGACAGCAGCAACAGCACCATTTCCAGGGTTATCCTTGAAAGAATTCTCCTTTTTGTCACCCTGGCTGTGGTACCAGCTCTCAACCCACTGGGATTGTACATGTAGTCAGCCAGTATGCACCCTGATGGAGCATCTCTTGGCACTGTATGTATGTTTCTTATTTGTTTTCTGTTCATTACTGGCATCCCCTTGACTTTTCCTCCATTCCACTCCTGTCCTTGAAAGCACAGTTGCCCTGCTGGAGGTGCCCATGCTGACTCCAGACTAGTGCCTATATACCATCTGCAGAGTCCACCAGGTCCTTTAGCACAGTGAGCCTCCTCTTCTGCTCTTTTCTGGAACAGTTCTTCCATCTCTAACCCCCTCTAACAGATGCTTGGATTGCCATTGGCTAGCACTTTGTGCCCTGGACAGCATAAATTTTCATGACATGGCCAGTAAAGGGTGTGTAATCACCACTTCATACTTCACTCTTGCTATTGAGAAAGATTATGTAACCTTTGCAGATATCCTGCATTCATCCTTCCTCAGCCAGAGGTCCTGAATCTGTTCCCAGCCTGGCTTCTCACCCCACTACAAGTGGTATTCTCATCACCTCAAGGCAGCTGAGATAAGGTGGATGAATTCTACAGAGCCCTGTGCATCCCAAAGGCAGACAATGCAAAGGCATTGTCTGCCTTTGCAATAGCCCTGTCTATTATTGCTGCTGCATTCTTTTCAGTTAAAACATCTTGCTGCATGATCAGGACTATACAGTGCTGTGGTGAATGGGGAACATAACCAAAGTGTTCTTTTCTGCTAAGCACAAGGAAAAAGTTGGTTAAAATATTTTGTGTGTGTTTGGTTTGCATGTATTTTGTCTTTGCCTTGCAGTCTTGTAATAGAAGATTATACTGATGTACAGCTGAAGCAACAGGTGATACTCTACGTACCGTGACTCAGCTATCATTGAGGTTACCTCTTCTGTCTGAGTTCTAGCCACTACTGATTATGAAGATTAAGAAATGAAGATTCATATTAAATTAAATAGTTCATAGAATGCATATGACTAGAGCTGGTCACATAATATTCATCAAAAGGTTCATTCAACAATTTGCATTACATTTTTCTTACAAAATAGTAGCAATACTTTTCATTATTTGCTCAGCTCTGCCCATCATTTTAAGAGCAGCAACATGCAGTACCAAAAATAATGATGCATTTAGATGGAACAAGCCCCCAACACTCAGTTTCCTTTCCCTGTTCCTACTCAGAGAGAAAGCTAGAAGTAGGAAAATTTTAAGTGTTGAGTAAGAGGGAAAGATTTAGAGCAACTTCTGTGACATTTAAGTAAGGCTGGCAATGTTATTCTGCAGTCAAGGCCCTGTCTTGGAGTAGACTTTGGCCATTCTAGCTCAGTCCTCGGTCCTGTTGGGCCTCTAGAGCTCTAACTGTGCCTGTTTACCCCTTAGGATGTGGTGGTGGTTGGGGAAGAAAACTTCACTACCCCATGCTATATTCAGCTGGACTCAGAAGCTTGCCATATCCTGACAGAAACACTCAGCACCTATGCCTTGGTGGGACAGTCGATCACGAAAGCAGCAGCAAAGCGGCTCAAACTGGCCATCTTTGGGCCAGTGTCCTGCTCATCACTGGAATACAGCATCCGAGTCTACTGCCTGGATGACACTCAGGATGCCCTTAAGGTAATGGCCTCCCCCTTTAATCAGCTAGCTGTGTCTGGATCGCAGTAATAGCAGTGAATAGACCCTTCAGTAGTGTGCTGTTTATTGTAATTTCTATTCCCTAGTCTATATTTTTTGATTAGGGGAAGAGCTTGACAACAAGCCACTATTTTATAGAAAGAAAAAGGAAAAAAAACCCCACAAGTTGTCCTTTGCATAATGATTCCACTCAAATGCTGAACTATTTTCCACCCATCATTCTTTGTTCCTTTGTTTACCTGTATCATAACCTGAATTCTGAGATTTTTGCATTATTAAAAGGCCATAAGGTGCACCAGGGCTTCATTCGTTATTCATGTATTTTTAATGCTAAGTGCCAGCTCCCCAGAGATGAGGAAATGTATAAATGCCTCTTTGTAAATAGTTGATAATGATAAAAGAAGCTTCTGGGTTGTTAATCACTGCCTGCTATTATATTGCTTTATTATACCTCTGTGTGTGCATTTTTGTGCTGGGAATTTGCAATTGAAATAAACCAAAGCTGTTGCTTTTTACAGCTATATATACCTAACTCTTGCTGCATATAATACCAGCACATATATAAGTAAGTATGCTCCCTGCATACTTAAGAGCACACACACACACTGTATTTGTGTTTATAAATTTTTGTGCATATAAATGCATAGCCTAGGATGGGTAGGTAGTCATTTTAATCAAAATATTAATTCATGCGTATCTTTGTATGAATGCAAGTTATACAAAGATTTTCTGTAAGTTATAAAAAGATTTTCTGTAAACAAGCTTGATGCTAATTACCTGCACTGCCAGTATCTATGCACTGTCATTTTTATGTTGCGTACAGAAGATGATTCTTAACAGCTTTACTTGGGGAACAAGCCTTAGACATATCCATATATGTAAACTACCTGGGAAATGTTTGTATTTCTCAGAGCACTGAGTTTCATTGTCACCAGTACATTCCATTTTTATATCAAATACTTTTTGGTGTCATATATTTAAGGGTATTACAGTTTATTATCTCTGCCACTTGGGTACTGAGAACCCTTTCTATAGATACCACCATTTCAGCAAAGTGATGGGCTGAAGGGTAGAGGAAAGAATAGCTTTCCATGTTTGGCTGCTCAGCATTGGGCTTTGTTTTGACAGTTTTGGAGCCTGGTATAGAGAATTATGGTTTGCCAGGACATCAGTTGTGCTTATCTCAGTATGATTTTCCCCAAAATTGGGAAGAGGGGCTTCTATACCAAGCACCGTCTTTCAAAAGCTAAGGTCCCTTTTATGCCTGCACTTCTTTGGGTCCATGTGGGATTTTCTATATATTTGTTGAGACCTGAGATGAAAGTAAGTAATTCAAAGCAAACTGAAGCAAGCACTGAAGTTGTTTGAATGCTGCTATGAGTTTCAGAGTAGAAGACTTGAGCAGTCAAAGATGAATTCAAATAGGCCTTGTCTTTACTACTGTCTTTCACCATGAACATTTTCAGTGTTTTTACATTCAGAGGTTTATTGCATTAGCCCCTGTATCAGGATCTCTCTCCTGCTTTCTACCATCAAAGTAATCTCTCTAACTGAAAGAAGGCTTCTGCCACCACCCAGCAGCTGGCAGTGGTCACATTTTGACACTTCTTTGCATAATGTCAACTCCTGGGACTCATTGTCCCACTGCTTCATGTGCTGCAAGGGGGTGCTGGCTGTAGCACAGGGTCCAGGGGGTGCTGGCTAGATCCCAGCTAGCCAAGGAGTGATGTGGAGATGGGAAAGCAGGCAGCCCTGGGCTGCCTTCTCCTCCATCTCTGCATACTACAGTCCCCACACTGAGGCACCCCACACCCCAGCCAGCCACTCCCTGCACCATACAGGCATTTCTTCTGGACTGAAGTAATGCAGTCCCTGGCTGGCTGGGGTGCAGGGTGCCTCAGTGTGGGGGGGTCCATGTGCCTCCATGCAGGAGCTGCTCAGTGGAGCCCCCATGCTGAAGCACACAGAAACAGTGGAGCAGCCAGTTCAGGGCTGCCTGCTCCCCTGTCTCAAGGTACACTGCACCCTAGGCAGCCAGGGAATAGTAAATCCTGGTAGCAATTTTTTTCCCCAGCACTGCAAATTAGCATCACCACACACAGTTTAACGTGCAATGTGTGTGGTTTTTGGTGCTGCAAAGAGGTTTGTAGTTCACAGACCACACATGCCTGCCCATCTGATTCCAGCCACACAGTCTACTTTGCCTGCAGCACATGACAATGGAGCCACACAGAGTCAAATATGACCACCAGAAACCATACAGACATGAATGCACTAGCAGCTTTCTTGTGGTGTCTGCTTCTGCTGCCAGAAGTTATGGTGGCTGAAGCACCCTAGTGCCCTGTGCCCTCCCCAAAGACGCAATGGCATCTCCTGCTTTCTCCTACTTTCCCATACAAAAGATAAGGACTTTATTTTTCAGTCAAAAAGCCGGAGGCTGATTCAATTCAATTTCTGCAGGTTAATCTAAGCTGTGTAGATTGATTTGATATGCAAGTAAACAGGCATCCACTTTTAATTCCGGAAATGCAGCCACATGCCTGCAGTGGCTCAGGCCAAAAGCCGGAGGGTGCTAAAGCATGCCTCCCTGCTTGGCTGCAGCAGACAGCATGGGCAATGCCAGCCCATCCACCCTGTGAGGGAGGGCTTGCAGAGCATATGCAAAGCATCCTGGGATGCAGGGGACTGTGAGTTAACCTGAATCTGGAGGGGATCTGGGACAGAAGTTCAATTAACTGATTTAATCAGTAAAGTCTGATACTATATCCATCCAGGTTTATCTTCAACTGGGTTTAGCCATTTTGAAAGTGGTTTATGTGCACTGAACTTCTGGCCTAGGGACAGACATTTTAAAAGCCTGAGCCTAAAATGAGTCAATCTTTGCAGATTAGTTTAACCTGGCTAGGCTGAACCAGTTTGTAACCATACAGACATTTTTTCTGGACTGAAGAAATGCAGGCACATGCCTGCACTGGCTCTGACTAGAAACTAGTGGGGTACTAGAGTGGCCCTCCCTTCCTTTCAACAGTGCTGAGCTGAGGCGGTGAGGGATGTAGCCAGGCCCCAGGAGGACACTCTGATTAGGGAGAGATTGTTTCCATCCCTCGCTGCTCCTGACCAGCTAGGGAGTTACACAGCATTTAGTTACACAGCAGGAAGTTACACAGGGAGTAACATAGCATTTAGCACCCCATCAAAACAAACAAAAGCCTCTCATTAGTTCAAGCTCTTCTTGAACAACTTTTTTCCCAGGAAGGAATAGAGGGACATTACCAGCTACCTGTTGATTAGTTCCAGAAAGCGCTAAGCGGGCACTGTCCTGTCTGCTTTTGTCCTGCCTGCCTTAAACAGACACCTCTCAGCATTAGCTAGCATACCACATGCTGGCTATGGCCCATCCTGTGGGAGCAGGGAGGGGGGAATTCCTGCTTGAACAGCAAGTGGTGAGAGGGGCTCAGGAGGAAGCCAGGGAGATGCCACTGTGCTTGCAGTCTCTGCCAGAGCTCTAGCAAGGGAGCGGAGAGGCGGGGCAGCCCTGCTGTAGAACAGAGAGCCCCGCTCAGGGGTGCAAAACATCTGGGATTCTGGGGGACTCTTGTTTAATTTAAACCAGGAAGGGGTCTAAAACAGACATTGCATAAACAGGTTTCATGCAAATCAGTTAAGTCTGATACTACATTCAACCAGGTTTATCTCAAACCGGTTTCAGTCATTTTCAGACTGGTTTATATACACTGAATGTCTGTTCTGTTGCAGGGTTCTGATCACTTAAACCAGTTTGTCTAATGTCTGTCCCTAGCTTTGTTGTGTTACAGATTTGAACTGGTTTCCCATCACTTATACCAGTATATGTGTAATTTCTGTCCCTAACCTTGATGTTTTCAGCTCAAGAATGGATCCCATTGTGGAAAGTGTGCTTTAACCAAACCAAAGTTATCCGGTAGTAAACTTAATTTATTAGACTTAGCACAGTGTTAACGGCATGAAATTTAAAGGCCTAGGATATATAGGAGTTAAGATTCCTAAATTTAAGGCCATGATCTTGTGGCCTTAAACTCTATGAATCAACTTCCTCAAAAATAAAGAGCTTATATAAGAGAAAAATGGGCTAGCTTCAGAATAGAGGCTTCTAAATGAATACAGTAAGATTTATAGCATTCATAGATCTGATAAAGCCCTATGTGACAAGGCCCCATTGCTGCAATGTTCTGCCACAATGAGTAGAAATGAAAGAAGCTTTAAATTTGACTAAAATCCGTGTTAACATAACATTATTTTTAACACTTGGTTTGATAGTATCATTTTGGACTGCCATCTCTGAGACCTAAATTTGAATTTGGACCCCAGTCTCTTGCACTGTAGAATGATGGGACTGGGAATGTGCTGCTTGTGGCAGCTCTTCTGGCCAACTGATGAGCATCACTGTTGGGCTGCAGAAAGATTTTATGTTTTTATCCATATTTGAACAGTGCCTGGCATAGTGAGCCCCAAGTGCATGACTGAGGCCCTTGGGCACTATGACAATGTAAATAATAAGAGGGGATTTAGAACATAATGGGAAAGATGGCAGTTGTTTCCTGGTACCTTGATGGATGGGGTGAAAACTTGGAGGGTGGGAATAAGGGCAGCTCAGAGCTTTAACAGATTTAAAAAAATCTCAAATCTAAAAAACAATTTGTGGCTTGGGAATCTTAGAACAGCGGTAGCCACATTTGAGATACAGGGTGGAATTCCTTAGCTTCCCTGGGGAGAGGTTGCTGAACCTGCATCCTTCACAGCGGTGTGACTGAAATTATGTTATATTAAATGTGAGTTGAGTAGCAAATAAAAGGGATGGGGGTTGGAGGCAAGGGGCGGGGGGGGGCGGCGGTAAGATCATCTATTTTTTTCTCCTTACACCTTTTGTTGAGAGCCAAGATTGTGTCAATAGATCAATTGCTCTGGCTTGATGAATAAGGCAATTGTTTTCACATTGAGACATC